TTCAACTAATAACATGGATTCCATACAGCCCTAGTAACGAAAATGTGCCCATTATTATACCAAATTAATTGTGAAAAAAATAAATGGGTATCAAGCTATTCTGAATTTTAAAGAATAGCTATGCTACTTATCAATAGCATAGCAGTGTAGTAACCCTATTCTGCTTTCAGTATTTGATTTGCAGGATTTGATTCTCACCACGAGGGGGGCGTTGTTTTTCAGTAGGTATTTCACCTCTTTGTGCCCTAAACTCTAAAAAGACAGATATTGTACCAAAATAAAGTTTCTGTTCAACTCAATGATCCAAGCATGACTTTTATGAGCGTATATCTACCAAAACTCAAGATAATGCTGGCTACACAATTCTGCAGTTTCTGATAAATAATCGATGAACAAAATTCAATCTTTGGCTGAATAATCGACTGATACACTTCAATCTTTGACTATTACGTTGATATATTTTTATTATGATCTATTATGTATGTTTCAAGTAAAATAATTTTGGCCACATTACTTCTTAGGACTGGAATCAATGAGCTACGAAATTTACAATATCTACCAAGAATGTCTGAAGCCAGAGAACATTTGTTTGAGGATAGAACAAAAGCTCATGCTGATCATGTGGATGCAGGCTTAGATAGAAAAACTACTGCTGCTGTTGGAATTCTAAAGGCTATCCATGGTGGTAAAAATGAAGGTTCTATTAACCGAATAACTAAAGATGTGATCGCTTTTGCCGCCAAAGATTTTGATGTTTTATCTGAAAAATTGCAGCTTGATCTGCATGAACCGCCTATATCCCAGGTGAGAATTCTTGAAATAGAACATAAATAGTTAATGATGTTGATATTTTATTTTCAGTGTGTTACATGGTTGGAAGATGCTAAGCTTAATCAACTACGTAGGGAAAACATCGAGTATGCTCGAGTCAATTTATATGATAATGACATATATTTTTTACCTAGAAATATAATTCATCAATTCAGGACTGTATCAGCTGTCACTAGTGTTGGTGAGTTTAGATTTGAATAGAACTGTATTAGTTCCTAAGGAAAGTTATTAACCTAATTTGAAAAGAAGTTTTACAACTAAAAATATTTTTTAGTTGTAAAAATGTTTTTTCTTACTTTACTTTAGGATTACTTTATTCCTTGTGTTGTATAATATTTCTTTTGAAAAGTATTGAACACTTGTTGGTCTGATACTAACTATGATAGCATTTTTCAAATGATATCATAGTAAGTATAATTCATCTTCTGTCATATGTAATTTGTATTTTGTTAAAAAAAAAGAGTATGCTATGCATTTTTTTCATGAAAAAATTTTCTGAATTAAGAAATCAAAACTCATACTTTTTTATAAACCTGCAATTTCGCATCAGAATGTACTGGTAGATAATATTATATAATTTTTTTCACAGCATGGCATGTTAGGCTCAAACAGTACAGTCCTCATATTCGTAAAGATGAAATAGTAGCAACACAGGAAAAAATCAGTCAAAGTCCAATTAAACATGAAAAATCGAAACGTAAAAAAAATCCTTCTGAATCTGAAAGAATCAAACAAAAAATTGATTTTGATAACTTGCCATCTGTTAAAGAGAAAGACAAACACAAAGATCATAAAGACAAAAAAGATAGGGATAAAAATAAGGAGAAATCACGGGATAAGCATGGGAGTTCATCACGTAAATATGAGAAAAATAAATATCACAAATCTTCACATCACAGTATACATAGGAATAATGATCACGAAAAGAATAGAGAAAAATCTCGAAGTCATCATGATAAACATAGGTACAACAAACATGATAAAGACCGAGATAGAAAGAGTCGAACAACAGAATCATTGAGTAATGATGTTAAAATCAACGACATTGAAGAACGCAGAAAATCATTATCTGACTTGACAAAAACATCTGATTTACACAAAAATTATCAAACACCTACTAAAGCGGTTTTGAATGTATCTCCAACCTCAATTAAAGAGTGTCCTTCTATAAAAACTAGTTCTTCCTCCTCCAGTTTCACTAGATCAGACGATGGTTTCTCTTCTGAGAAGAGTGAAAATTCTGTGATACAAACGCCTGTCAAAGTAAAAAGTGAGAGTGGATCTAACTCTGTTTCACCTTTAAAATTAAAATTAGATAAAAGGCAGCATAAAATTCCGCACCATCTTCGTCTATCGCAATCCTCAGATGTGTTGGGGGATATTTTGAAAGATATGAGCAAGTGTGATCCACATATATAACAATAACTCCTCTATTTTAGTTTTTTCTTTATGATTTGTTTTTTGCAGAAAGTAAATCCAAATAATTTGATCAGGGTATGAAAATCGGAAATTTTAAATCTGAAGTGTTTTTCATTTTTAATAGGTGAACAGATTGATTGCCAGGCAACTTTGAAGTTTGTTATATGTCAAATATTGACATTCTAAGACTACTCACCGTTAATCTATTTTAAAAGGTACAGATCTATTTTATAGATCAATTTAGAAACACTACTTAGAATCGTAATGTATGAATTATAGTGCATTCGAATTTTGTTAAAATTTTTTGTGTTCCTTTGTAATGGCAAAATGAACTTAAAAATTTATTCCTTAGATTCACTATCTTATTTGAGTGTATTGGAAACGTATCGCAATTTGCAAACTTCCTTCATTTGCTGTAATTTACAGTGAAAAATGATTATTCATGCAATAAATACATGTACATAAAAACATTTTTAGGAAATATAGTGCATTTCCATTTCAATATTCAAGATCCATCACCAGTAATTTTAAAATTGAAATTTTATACAGTATTCAAAGAATTTTTTGCTTATTGATTGTTTCCTTGTATTTAAGTACTTGTTTTAAATAATTTTATTTGAACATCAATATGTTGAAATATTCTTCTTTTACATTAAAAATCTTGGTAAGTGAAAAAGTAAAAATTGATAGTTTAAATAATTATTCAACATTATGAACAAGCAGTACAAATTTAAAATGTATAGTTCTATTTATGTATACAATTATTCTTTTGTATTATTTATTTTTTATGTAACATTAGGTTTTCACTATGTTTCAAATAACTATATCAAACAAAAACATAAATTGCTTTTTATATTACATATGTATTATATTATGTATTTTAATTCAAACGGAGAGCATTTTTTATTGCTTCAGTATAATTATTTTTCAAGTAATTTTAGAATACCTCCAAAACTAACATATTCAGTTGATTTAAAAAAAAATTCTATTCCCAATGTTATTCCCTATTCCCCATTTGAATTTCTTCTACTAGAATGTTTTCATTCAAATTAATATCAAAAAGTCTTAAAACATTTAAATTGTCAAATGTATAGTTAAGTGCAATATATTCACTGGGAATAAATATTCTTATTTTTCATATTCAAAAAAATTTTTATGTTGGTGGAGTTTGAATTATAATGTTTCCCAAAATTCAAATTCTGAAATCACACATTTATTGCTTTTTTCCACAGAGAAGCTTCAACATGTTTCAAGTGCTCTAGAGCTCCCCATTAATAAATTTTCATAAATTGCGTTTACTGCATGTGTTTATAAGTATTACTTTGTTAAATTATTAAATAGTACAGGAAAAATATAAACAGTACCCTCCTAAGCTGAAAAATGCACCAGTGCAGGACGAGTTACTTTAATTTTGTTATGAAAAGAGGTGTTTATACGTTGATATGTTCCATAGTAAGATAATTGACTTTATGAGAAAAAATTCATTGTAATTATATAGGTTAAGCAGTAGATATGTAAATATGAGGATTTTTAAATAAATATTGTTACTATTTTATCTATACAGTGAATGATTTCAAATGCCATACTAAGTAGGACATTTAAGGAATGTATGTATATATTGTATATATGATGTAAAAATATTGAAATATATAATTATTTAAAATATTTGAAACAATTAGATTACACTTGCTTTTGAGTATTTCTTTTGAAGAACTCACATATTTTACTGTACAATAAAATTGTTATTTTTTTAATATTTGTAGAGATCCTAAAATATAAAGCGATGTTTGTAATAAATTTATCAATATTCAATAAATTTCTGGCTTCACTGTTCTAAAGGTGCTATTTGTCAGTCAAAAGAAGTTTTAATTTCATGAGGCATAATATCTCAGTTATATTATTAGAATTCAGCCTGTGAAGATGTTTCTTAATATAGTTATATCTCACAGTTTAATTATTTTGTTCAAGCATATCCTTTGTTCGAAATATTGTGTAATATTGAAAAACAAATACTGAAAAAGCATTTGATTTATATGATTAGTTTCGTCAACGAGTGAAAGCTTGTTCTGCATGCTTCAAATAAATAATTTTTCAAACTAACAAATAATTAGAATGCAATCAATTTTAAACATAAGAATTTTATTTAGCAAAGGTGCTACATAATTTTGTCATTTGTATAATGGCAATAGGTCAGACAAATTTAGCTGAAAATATAATTTCAAATTGTCATTCGTTCCGAAACGGAAAACTTAATATTTAATGAATTAATAAAAAAAAAAATGAATAAAACATTTGAATTATTTTTCACGTTAAATTAAATAATGTATATGGATATATTACAGTGGACTTCGCCACCCCAGTAACCCGACACAATATATTCACTAATATTCATTAAACTATGAAATTTCACATATGATATTTTCATGCATTCTATGATTGATTCATATAATCATATATGATATTATAGTTCCGGATGACATGTTTTACAGTGTATCTTTGTACACAATTTGTTTTCGTACCTAAACGCTGTCTCTCTTTTATGTTCATTTAACCAACATCAGGTAACTTCAGATACAATATTATTATTTTGACCTTCAATTTGTGGTCGAAATACAAGAAAGTCATTTTTAAAGCATTCAGGCTTATAGTACATCCGACAATGCTCCTTAAACCGTTTGTCGGTTGAGCGGGGGGTCCTATGGATTTGAAAATTTCAAAAATTCTGCTCTGGAAGTTTGAAAACTTCATCTGCCACTTATCTCTGTGGGAAAGTGACGAACTCTCACTAGGGAGATCTGGGTTCGAATCCCAGGTGAGACATGGGCGTTTCTGTAGGTAAAATGAGTTTCAGCGGTTATATGATAAAATGGGTAATGTCCAAAGATGACAAACCCAAAAAATGTTAAGTGCGCCATCTTATTTCCATGTCCAATGCAGATCTTATTTTCTGTGGTTTTAGCTACAAAGGCCCATGTCAGATAGTATTGCATCCAAAGAAAATTATGTTTTATGAGCGTATCTATCTTACCCGTTATTCTAAAAGTACTGCAAAAGAATGAACGGCAAAAAACATAACAGGCATTAATATACTCTACTTATAAAAATCTCAATATTCTCATAACCATACACCAATGCAACATAACGACAAAAAATTTCATTAAACACCAGGCTGATGATTGTACATCATGCAAAATCATCAAGCAGCTTGTATTCCAGTCTGTTCAGTTTAATGACATTTCAAAATTACATTACATATTTTTTACCCCTCTGAGATTCACTAATTAATTTCCTTGTGAATAAAGCTAACTTAGTTTTTTATTCACTATATATAATCGCTGATTCACCTTGCTTCTCTCCAAGCACTTTCTTACGATTAGCAATTCGATTTGTTATCTACCTATTTTCTTTCTCGGTAATCGTTAATCTCATTGTTCAAGATGGATTAAGCACTGGAGGATTTCCCGTATTTGAAGAAGACTAATTAATAATCTTTTAAATAAGACAAGTGTGTAGATAATGATGACTTATTCTATAAATGTCCACACCTAAGCGAATATTACGTCAACTAAATGGAAAATCCATGAAAACTGCAAACTCTGTCCGACGACAAAAAATGAAATATCAAAATAACTGATATTGATTGATGTAAAATTTGGAATATTTCTTTTATCAGTGTTCTACATAATTTCTATTTACATGATTGCACATTAGAGTATAAATAGTAAAAACAGTCAAAATTCTGTTTGGAGAACTACTATTGTATTGCCTTTTATATTCAACTGTTATTTACTGTTTTTATGGGATGGTTATTCAACTTTGTTTATACGCATGCAGAAAATAAAATTAACAGGGTTTACTATTCTATGGAAAATACACCAACTGTATAATGTTTATACCGTTGCACCCTAAGTATGACAATATCATGAAAGATGTCGCTAGAATATAATCAAAAACGATTTTAGAGTTGTTGACATCATTGCTATCTTCCTTATCGGCTGTTATACATTTTGCATGTAACGTTTTGCCGCTTTGAGTTTATTTATTGGTGTTGAAGTAAAGTCAAATTTAATTGTTATTTTACTGTTTTTGTCCGAATCTATTTTACAGTATTGACAAAAGCAATTTCTTAAAAATGCGTAAAAAGACGTAAAAATGGTGGTAAAATTCTTTGAATTTTGAACCCAAAAATCATTTTTGGCAATGTATCTGTGCAATGTGATAACATAATGGCGGGTAAGGCGTTAGAGTGGAAATATGTGGTTGATCCTACGGGTCCACAGCCTAGACCAAGGCATGGGCACCGTGCCGTTGCTATTAAGGACTTAATGGTCGTATTTGGGGGTGGAAATGAAGGAATTGTAGATGAACTACATGTTTACAATACAGGTAAGACGGACACTAGCCACTTTCCAATGCTAACAATCTTAATGGATGAAATCCCCACGTATAATTATCTTAGTGTAAAACCTAATAACCAATCAATGAGACATTGTTTATACATAAAACGTTGTTTTTGGATTTTTATCGATCAAATGTCATTTGCTCCGTTTGTTTAATAGAGATACAAGCATGGCGTCCTCTGATGTCAGTTGTCTTCCCTGTTTACAGATTTATAAAATTATGTCTTGGAACTTTCTTTCATTAGATTTTCATTTTATTGATTTAATATGTTTAATATAATTTTCTCTTATATATCAGGTTTTTCATGAAATTACTTATTAGCCATGAAACTACTTCAGTTATTTAATGAGTATCTACAGTATGGTCAAAATCCTATCTCTCCTTAATTTTTTAGTATATCGAGTATTATCTCAACAAATGTGTGAGGCTAAAAATTGAAACAATTACCTTGACTTAATACATTTCAGAAGATTAATATACTAAATAATTATAGATTCAATAAATGTATACTCTTTGTAAAATGAGGACCTACATTGAAATAATTTATAATGAGAATTGAATTTTTTGTTAAGTTATGTGACTAATTGAGATCATTAAACGTTTTTAGTCTCGAATGTTGAATTGCATTCATTTTGATCTCCTAAAATGCATGGTTTTCATTTAATAGTTTGATACTACATAAGCCAGAAAATATTGCTAAGTTCTGTACTTTTATGAAGCAGTATTGTATTTTCCATTTATCAAAGTTCTTTTGTGCTCTCAGAGTCATGTATTGGAAGCAGTATATTTTTTACGTAATTTTATTGAAACATCATTAAATTTTTCGAAAAATTGTTGATTTATTAAAAGAATTCATTTATTTATCTTTGAGGATTCTTGTATTGGACTGTTAGTATTTTTCACTGTTTTAAAATATCCTTGGATTATTTTTTTACAGCAACAAATCAATGGTTTGTTCCTATTATAAAAGGCGATGTTCCCCCTGGATGTGCTGCATATGGTTTTGTTGTTGAAGGTACCCGACTATTAGTATTTGGGGGTATGGTGGAATATGGAAAATACAGCAATGAATTATATGAACTTCAGGTAAAACATTCAAATTTGGTCACCTGGAAATGAAATTGAAATATTTCAAAATAAACTGTATATTCAACATTTTTTCCAATTGATTATAGTCATATTATATATGCTAAAAGAAGTGGCAATCCAACAGTTTATTTAACAGTTTTTCAGTATGTCTTAGATATCTTATTTTTTTAAATTCTAGTAAATTATTACTATGAGTACTATGAAAAAAATATGTTTTTTCCAGTAACAAATTACTGATTTCTCACTAACACGTATTATACACTCTTTATAGAATACCTTGTATTTTAGGCTTCGAAATGGGAGTGGAAACGTCTTAAACCTAAAAATCCTAAAGCTGGCCCATCTCCATGTCCTAGGTTGGGACACAGTTTCACGATTGTAGATTCTAAAGTGTACCTCTTTGGTGGACTGGCTAATGATAGCATTGACCCTAAAAATAATGTACCCCGTTATTTAAATGACTTGTACACTTTAGATATTCGTACCAACCCTGTTCAATGGGATATTCCAATCACCAATGGACCATGCCCCCCACCAAGAGAATCTCATACAGGTTGGTAACAGATTTTGCCATATGTGCTTGTGTCGTTCAAGAGTTGAATGAATCATAACCAAACTTTTGGTTTTAGATCAGTTCTAAAACTCATTAGCAATATAATTTCAGTCATTTGACAGTATGCAATTCCCTTTTGCTTAAAATATATTTATTTCAATGTCTCATCATCTCGCACAGTTTCAATGTGTTTGTCTTTTTACTGAATTATTGATTTGATAATTTTGTTTTGAAATACATTAATTGTTGCACCTGTGAACTGTGTTGAACTGTGATATTTGCATCATCAAAAATGTGGTGAAATGGTTGTTGGAATATATTATTTAGTTATGCTTTCAATTATTGTCTACATATTTTTTGTTAATGTTAAAAACAAAATTTTGTTTTGATGATTTATGGACTTTTCAAGAATTTGTTATACCTAAATCAGAATCGAATCATTGTTAATTTTATGAAATACAATATACAGATGCCAAAAAGTTTTTCATGTTTATTTGTTTAGGTGTTGCATATGTTGATAAAAGTAAAGGTAAATCTTTTCTGGTCATTTATGGTGGCATGAGTGGATGCAGGCTTGGTGACCTATGGTTCTTGGATACTGATAATATGGCGTGGTCAAGGCCTCTAGTTACAGGAATTGCTCCATTACCTCGATCTCTTCATACAGCTACTCTCATTGGTCATCGAATGTTTATTTTTGGTGGGTGGGTACCAGCTGAAGATGCAAAGACTGCTACTAATGAAAAGGAGTGGAAATGTACAGCTACTATGGCTTGTCTCAATTTGGGTAAATTTTCCTTCAAAATTCTTGTTATTGATAAAAGTCCCAATTCAAACTTTCAATTTTTCTCCATAAAACTTACTCTTCAATTTATCCCCTATTTTCAGAAACTATGAATTGGGATAATCTAAACTTAAAGGCTGATAACGAAGAAAACATACCATGTGCTAGGGCTGGTCATTGTGCTGTTGGTATTAGCACAAGGCTTTATATTTGGTCTGGTAGAGATGGTTATCGTAAGACTTGGAAAAATCAAGTTTGCTGTAAAGACTTGTGGTATCTAGAAATTGATAGACCGCCTGCACCAAACAGAGTATCTTTGGTGAAAGCGGCTACTCATTCCTTGGAAGTTAACTGGTCAGCAACACCTTCAGGACAAACTTATATCCTACAGGTATAATTCTAGCAAAAACTGGTAAACATAAATGCTTTTCCATATTTTATGTTCAATAGTTGTGTTTGTATTTACATTGGATGTAATTTTAGATCCAAAAGTATGAATTGCCTCCTAGTGCAGGAACAGTGAAACCCACTGCTCCACCACCATCAAATATACCACCACTTCTCATTTCACCCAAGCAGGGTCAGTCCCCTGGGCATCACCTAATCAACAGCCCTACTGGTTCAGCCACTGTGAAATCTCAAACTGTACAGCAACTGCATGCAGTGCCGAAAGTCATATCTCCAGTCATTAAGTGTATGTATTAATATTTCAATCTCTTACTTTTAGCATTAAAATTTTCTAAACAAATTTAATTGAAAACTTCTCACAAGTTAAATTATGAGAAACTAAATATTTTTCAGCTTATATAATTTAATTATTTTGACGGTTCTTTAGATGCTAATTGAAATATTCTTCCCAATTGTAATTCATATTTTTCACATATATTTTTTCAGCTTCACCAAATATTCGCATTCAAACTCCAGTAAATGCAGCAACTATTCGGCAAGGATCACCTGCACAGGTAATATATCTATTTGATTCCTAATTTTTTG